TTGACAACAGGCGCAAGCGTACTAGTATGAAAAGCGAGATGATGTCCATTGAGCCCCGCAACGAGCCGCAGATGCTCCGGTGGTTCCGCAAGACGTACCCCAGCTATAACTTGCAGCCGCTGCTGCTGAAGCGCTACCGAGAACTGGAGGAGGCGCGGGCCTTCAACAACTGCCTGGTTTTCGACACTTGGGTGTCTTCAGGCGTAGGGCCTAGGTTTCACAGGCCGTTGAGCGCAGCACAGTTGCTCCGGCTTTTGTTTTCGCTTTTGTTTCGGACTGGTGCTTGTGGCATCTGGTCTGGTCTCACCTCTCCTTTCTTTTGCCTACCGTTTTTGCTTGAATGTGACCTTTGGGTCCACACATTCTTGTCTCTTTCTTGGCATGTGGGAGCTCACCACGATGATGTTTACCCTAGCCTTGTGCATGACTTTGCACGCTTCGAATTCATTGTTTTGCACCGCTTCGTAGAAACTCTTTCTTGCCCTAACTCCTTTATATCGACCGGCGATTATGCTGTAGGCGATGTCAGGGAAAAAATGATGTGTCCCAATCATCCTCGAAACCAGTCGGTGCCAAGACGTTCAAGACGTACGATCATCGACGACACCTTGCATATAGTCACAAGAAGGCACTCATCAGAGCCGAGATTATGAGTGAGGTGGCCAACGACATTTACTCACAAGATGCCAATGAACAAGGAGCGAACCTTCACTTTCGAGCATGACAAGGAGGATGACGAGATAGCTCCTTTTTGGATTGGATGGGCGGTGTACAGCAAGTCGTGCATGCTTCTTGGAGGTGTGCCGTGCCACGCACATTGTACTTAACCACCCACTTAGTATCTCTTGATTACTGCCATGGCAGTGTGTGCCTGATCGATGTCTTCTTGACATCGATTGTTGTTTCCTTCGTGCTCTCGGGCTTGCCCGCTTTCACTTGACATGAACTGTTGCTCCTGACAGTGTTTCCGATTTGGGCTGTGCATTGTTGTGGATAAATGCATTTGTTGTTCTGGGAAGTCCCACAGCCTTCTCTTTTTGGTAAAGGTCTTGAATGCTGGCGGGGTGGCGTCACGATGATGTTGCCGCCTTTCTTGTGTTTGTGACCCTGTGCCTTGCAGGGGATGCCTTGGGGCGCCCGCACCGTGCAGCACCCATGTGGGGTGCGTTTCACTCGTTAACGGAGGCACATGGGGAATGCGAAGGCGCTGGCTGCTCCTGTGAACCTCAGGGCCCTGGCCGTTTGGGGTTCCTTCTTTGTTGGGTTCCTTGTTTCGAGGGGTTTTGATTGAGTTTTGCTCATGGCAGCGTATCCCACTGGCCCCGCGGAAAAAACGGAAAAATACAGAAAGAGAGAAAGAGAGAAAGAGAGAAAGAGAGAAAGAGAGAAAGAGAAAAAGAGAGAAAGAGAGAAAGAGAGAAAGAGAGAAAGAGAGAAAGAGAGAAAGAGAGAAAGAGAGAAAGACAAAAAGAGAGAAAGAGAGAAAGAGAGAAAGAGAGAAAGAGAGAAAGAGAGAAAGAGAGAAAGACAAAAAGAGAGAAAGAGAGAAAGAGAGAAAGAGAGAGAGAGAGAAAACAAGAAAGGGAGAAAGAGAGAAAGAGAGAAAGAGAGAAAGAGAGAAAGAGAGAAAGAGAGAAAGAGAGAAAGAGAGAAAAAGAGAAAGAGAGAAACAGAGAAAGAGAGAAAGAGAGAAAGAGAGAAAGAGAGAAAGAGAGAAAGAGAGAAAGAGAGAAAGAGAGAATGGAGAGAAAGAGAGAAAGAGAGAGAGAGAGAGAGAGAGAAAAAAACAAGAACCGAAAAGGGAAACAGAGAACATGTTGCAGGGCAAATCGTGTTGCAGCTCGCGAAATACATTCGAACAAGAGCCGAACAAAGACAATATGCATTTGAAAATTGCACGCTTGCACAACATATATTTGCTCAAAGTACGTTTGGACAAGGTAGTTTGGAACAAATTGGTTTGCTTCAACGTGAGTAAAATTGACATGTGGCAACGTGAGCCGGGTTGCTGAAAATGGTGTTGGTATAGTGTTTGCGTTGCTTTATTGCTTAATTTAAAGCATTGCAATCACTGCGTCCGTATCCATCCTCTGGTTGTTGACCATTAAACATGGCTTGAAGGTGAGTTGAGAAAACCGCCTGCAGTGAAAGCCGGGCCGGTAGTGAATATTGTCACGACGACAACAGCAGGGTGACGATCGAGCTGCCGCGACCATTTTCAATTGTTGGATAAGCAAGTGCGTAGAGGGCAGGAATCGCTTGAAACTTCCCAGAACTCATTTAAAGACAATCTCGACCATGGAATTCATTTCAGGATGCTGTTTGCAAAAGAATCAGAACATGACTTGGCAAACTGTTTGCCAGTTCATTTTCTATTTGCAATTTTATTTGCTGATTCTTCTGCAGACAGCATGCTGCAACCAACGTATTTGAGGAGGCGGCTTCCACCAGCCTCGCAACTTCCATCCTTTGGCGGACTTTTGTGGGGATGGCCGATGGGCAATTTTTGTGACCAGACAGGGTCGCGTGTTGAGTGTGATGCTTATCGATTCTTCCCGAACCATCCCAGATGCGTTCGGGGGAAAATCAGAAGTGGATGTTTTGCAATCCAGTTTGAGCGCGTTTCCGCGCAGCGCTTTCTTCAGAGGCGGGCGCTGCTCGATCTCCCGGTGGGGCGCCATGGCAGAGCGGGAGCAAAGGCCGCTCGCATTGCGCCGGGCGCTGGGTGACGAATGAGGCAGTTGACTCTCTGTTTGAAGCTTCGAATATCAGGGTTCAAAGCGGTTCAGGGATATCATTGATTGAAACTCGTGCTCTTGCCCGTTTAGCTGTAAACAACAACATTTTGGCAGATCTGAGATCCTGTAATTTGCTCGAAGGCTGTGTTCCAATATTTGATTTGGGGGATGAGTTTACGGCCGAGATCGTCATCATCAGGAATGTTGCAGGGATTTGTCTCACAAACCCAGGCACCACTGCTGGGCCGGTGGACCTTCGGCCACCCAGACAGGCGGACTGGGGGCAAGGTCGCGCAAGGTCCGCCCAGGACGAAAATTGGGTGTGCCTTTTTTGGGGACACCCCAAACATGGCCGGTTTCCTTGTGGTTTCCGTTTAAAATTACCCAAGAAAGGAAAGACACACCCATCTTGTTGCCTTAAGGGGCCACATTAAGGGGCCACATCAGGTAGCTGGGAATGCGTGCTGTGCGACGTAGGACAGTGCATGGGCACCATGGTTGGTTTACCTGCAACAGTAGGTGATTCCAAACAAATGTTTCCATGCTTGTTAAAGCGCCTCAGAGCTTAAGTTGCATGCATTTGAGAGGGGTTATTATGTTCGTTTTGGTCAAACTGGACAGACTGAATGCAGGTGCAAATCAAGAGAGCTTGCTTCACATTGTTCCTGTTCGGTGTGTAATGGTCGGTAGAATGAAATCAGAGTATGCACTAACACTAGACAGTTTGCATTCGTTTTTGCAGGCGAGAAGGAAGAGAAGAGATGCGAAGAGGGCCAATTTAGCCTGCCATGATAGCTAGAATACTGGATACCTCGCAGTGCATTGTCCTGAGTACCGATTGTAACACAGGAGCATGGCGGACCGTTTTCTTGGTGCAGTGGCCAAACCCAAGGGTTTGTGCTGCGGGGGTTGCGGGTGCTTCTAGACCAGGAAGCTTTAACATGAGAAAGATCATCAGCTTGCAGCCCATTTGTGACTTACGATAAATTTGTCGCAAAAACGATGAGAAACAGGAAGATCAGCTTGCATTTGTACCCCGGGCTAGGTTTTTGTGCTAGCCAGAGCAACCTTGGCTTTGGGCATCCGTCAAGGCAAATGGGGCAGTCTGCTTGCGGCTGACACCTTGACTTCAACAAGAAAGCGCTCTGGATTACTCATGCCAAGGGCGACTGGGGGATCCAACAGAAGATGATTAGATGAGGCAATCCATCCACTTGAAGCTTTCAAAGTCGCACAACCAAGGTCTCAGGATCATGCCAGGCCTGCCACTCACCCCGCAGCGCCTCAGTCGGCGCCCAGGCGAGACAAATTGTTCCAGATGGAGGATCTCAGAAAGCCATCCGCAAGGCGCCGATTCTCGCGCATCCCGAAACGGGCTTCGGCTTCAGTTTGGAACTCCACGGACTTCTTTCGCAGCCAGGGTTAGCTTCTTTTCTTTCGAATGATTGTTGAGGTACCAAGGCTTGTAAGCCAAAGCTGCGGCGTGTTTCTGAAGATACAGCTAAGGAAGAGCAGGCTTGATTGTCTTTGTGTGAGCGCGGGGAGCACAGGGGCGCGTGCTCAGATTAAGTGTGCGCGTTTGTACTCGAGCGGCGTGGGCGCCTTTTTGGGTCAGACTAAAAGCTCCGATGTTAATTTTTTTGGGCCGATGGATGCCACACGAATCGGGTTGGCCACCGACCAAAGCGATGCCTCACTTCCGCGATCGAGGTTTCCGGCGAGGTTTCTGACGGGCTTCAATTTGCTATGAGTTGCTAAACGAAGCGTATGTTTGGTTTTGGTTCGCCATTGGGCTGTGGAACGTTGGCTGGGCGGAGACTTAGAGGATATTGTGCCTCTCATTGTGGCTTTTGCGACCATATGAGAAGCGTTTCATCAACCGCAACCAGCCTCAGAAAGCCCGCTTTGTCGGGAGCCAATGAGACATCCTGCCAGGGCTGGTTGAGAGATGCTCAAGGAGGTAGCATCTACCAGAAATCCGTGAAGCAGGCGGACCGGAGTTGGACCGGGTCCAACTTTTCACGAAAACTGCCAGGATTTGCACACCATTTACCAACCGAAAAGCACTGACTAAAAGAGTCGTGGGTTGATCTCGCTGGTTGATTCACTTCTGTTGCTTTTATTAGTTGACGGAGGCTCACTTTGCCGGCCATGCTTGGAGGACCACACTTCCGGCTCCAAAAGGGGGTACGACTTTGCTGCCAGTTTCGGGGTCTGTGCTAACTGTAGGTTTCTTTGGCCTAGCGATCTGGATGATCTCAGGCCATGATGATCGCCGCGGAGGAGATCAAGCTGATGGACGCCAAAGAGCTGTCCATGACCTACGCGTATGGTTCTCCTGAAACTGAGGAGATCAAGGCGGAGAAACCAAAAGCGGGATTTGGACCCTTTTAAAGGGGTTGCTGGCCTTTTCCCTTTAAACCAACCCCAAAAAGGGAACACTCAAAACTACACACCCAAAAGGACGAATGCGAGAGGGAGGGGGAGACCTGTAGAGACGTGTAGGGCACAGGCAAGGATGTCAAATCGAAGGCATTCTTTCTTGTCGCTTTTTTGCTTGCCTCCTCGTCCCTCTTCGAGATATGCCAACTTCTCCCAAGAAGCGGTGTCAACAGGACCGCCCTGCTACTAGTACAGAAGTCTGATAGTTGCCAGGGCCGACTTGCCTTCATGAGCATGTTCAATTCTTCCTAGATGTAGACTTTAGGATCAGCCACTCAGGAGGCATGAATAAACAGGTCTGGAGCTAATGCGAGTTTGTGGACCAGTTCCTGACAGACGCCACAGGTTGCAGTGAGCCAGCCCCACCTGTGAGCCTGGCCAACCGGGCAGGCGAAGATCCAGTCTCTTCAATCCGGGAATGCCAGGTTCACGGTTCCAGGCCGGCGGATGAAAAGGGCGGTAATTGCCCCCCCTTCAACTTCTTTGAAGTAGCCGGAGTTGAACAGCCTCATAGCTCTAGGAAACGGTTTGGATGCGGTTTTTGTGGATCCACCCTTGTAGGATAGCACAAGAGTACTAAAAGAGTATTACAAAAGGAACAACTAGCCAAACAACATGGGGAAACCACAGAAAGCGCATCCAATCCGTTTTGCTGGAATAGCGTCTCATGGAACAAGGTGAATCCGGGGATAATGGGTTGTCTCCGGGACAAAATTCCGACTCTATACCTAGGAAAGGTTCCGGCACCTGAAGATGGCAGTGCCAGAATCCAACTGCAGTTCGGTCGGTGTGGCCCAAAGTGTTCCCAGGAAAGGTACCTTTCTCGTCGCTCATCCCGGTGCGGGAGACTGTGTAGTTTTGGCTACTGGAAACTGTTGTGTCAGAGTATAGCTCTTGTCCCGAGACAGGAAATTCCCATTTGGCCTGGTTGCAGTGCTTGAAAAAAGGCCAGAAGTTTATCGGTCATTTTCCTTTTGCGTGTTGCACAGCCGAGACAAACCAGCGGCAGGGAGGACCTGAGACGCTCTGAGACGCTCGCGGTGTCAGATTCCCCACAGACCTTCGAGTTTCCGACGCACCCTGAAGCTAGCATTTGAATGGGTTGCTTTCAAAAGCGTGAAGCTGGCAATTGCCAGGCGTCAAGAAGAAGAAACTGCAGAATGTGGCGCAGCATCGGGAAGACCGGCAGAGCAGCCCGGCCCAGCTTGCTCATAGAGATTTTCCCATGCGCGAGCTGTTTGTTTGATTCCCCAAGTTCCGGGGCGAGTGTTGTGTTTTGGGGGCTTTCTGTTCTTGCTCGTGAAATTGGACATCCCTAAGTTGCCGGCCCCCTCCACCAGCCCTCAGTTCCCCCAAAAAGGCGAATAGGTCTTGTTTCTGTCCGTCGGCTTACCGATCTCCGCTTTCAGTGGGCCAAGTCAAAGGTATTGTCCAACAGCCGCTGATGGGATCGTTCTTACCATTGGGCAGGATCTCGGCTTCGATTGCCATGGGAGTCTCCAACAGATCCACAAAGCCCTTTGGGCCGGGAAGGGACCGACCGGGAGGATGTTTTGGTCTTTTGGAATCATAAACAGATGACGCTCGCCTAACCATCGATCAAAGAGTGTCATGTTTTTTTTGTTCTGCCAGGGGATACGCTGGTGAAGATCTCCAGAAAACGCCCCTGCTGCTCCCGGCGCCGGGGGGAGGGGGGTTCGGCATCGGCCCTGGGATCGTGTTGGTCCCGGTTTGCATCTCGTTTCGGTGAAATTTCTGCTCGTTTTGGTCCTAGTCCTTCCATAGTTCTAAGCCACTCCCGCAAGCATGATTGATTGATTTGGGCGGGCTGAACACCTCTAAGATGGCCCACAAGCTGAGGACCAAAATGAGCGGGCTGCTTTTTGTTTGGTTCCAGTCGATCACGTCCGAAAAAGCAAATCCTGAAGAGGTGCGGAGTCGTTGAAGCTGGGTGAGGTGTGTAGGGCAGATCTAGCTCCATGCCAGATGAACGCTTTGCTGGAGCGCCCCTTTCTGAACTAGACTTGAGTTGAAAGGGAATTAGGCATATGGCTGTGGGTCAAAACTAGTGGTACCATTTTGCCACCCATTTTAGTCTATTTTGAGTTGGGTTGGGATGTTCAGTCGGGGTGAGGCCCTTCCTGATCTATTGGCTAAGATCCTGCTGCACATGTTGCTTTGCACGGCATGTGCAGGCTGCCAATTTTTGGTTGTCTCAGTCCGGGTTGCTGCAGAGTCACATTGGGAGGATCATAAGCCAATTGGAGGTCCGTGCCTGGGGCAAAATAGCATGCGTTCCACTTCGATTTCGCGGAAGAGGACGAAATCCGGATAGTAGATACTTGGATTCACGGTTGACAGTGGCATCCCCTTACATATGCCTATTCCAAGTCTGTTAATGTTTGAGTATCTCTTAGTTTGGGGACAGGTTAAATTAGCCACAGGCAGACCAAAGCGTGCGATCGCGCCTTCGCCAGGGTTGAGAGAAGCTTCATCATTGACAATGGCGAGCTGCTGGTCTATAGGGACCATCATCCCAATGCCAAAGTGAAGGCCGGTACTGCTATCCGTGTTGGATCCTGGCGACTTGTGTTGATCAGCCAGATGTGTTGAACCTATCGTGGACGGCGATGTGGAGTTTCATAGAGGTTTGTCTGCAGGTTTGCTGCTCCAATAGTGTTTGGAGCAGTGCTTGAATAGTCTGCTTTTGTCGCTTGTTTCGTCCATCTTTTTCCTGTTAGAAAGGGCAACCTAATGCTAAAGCAAGTCCGCAGAACATGCCCAAAAGCCGACGTGACATGCCTGACCCTGGCTGGGAGGTGTGTGTGTGTGTGTGTGGGATGGTTGCTTCGCTTAACGGGAAGCACGCAGGGAGCATGGGCTTTGTCTTATTTGCTGGCTTTGGATTGTCCATGGTCCTGTTCCGAAGGCGATCTACCAGCTGAAAAATGCCACCTGCTTCTATGAGGAGAGGAACTCCTCCGCCCTGCCAAAATGGCTGGAAGGCACGCAAGTGATATGAGATCTGGGGCCAGAGATAAGTGGGGTACTTGGCATAGCCGTCTATCCCAAGATCCCAAGTGCATTTGTGGCTTCTCCGTCAATGTGTTCCGAATCCCAGTTTGAATCCCAGGGACCCCATGTGGTAACCAGGGTGAACCACTTGGAACAGTCCCTTCTCCGCATTTCGAGAGCGCTGGTGAGGCTACAGCAATCGCCTGCGAGTAATCTGCAACGAAAGAGAGCTGGCGTCCAAGTCTCCGCCCGGATCCCAGATCAAGGCGAGGGCCTCTTTCAAGTTGCAGCCGTGGCACAAGCTTTGGTACTCCACCTAGTGGTTCCAGTGCTGCTTCTCTTGATATTGCTGCGTTGCTGCGGTGCTGTGCTGGTGCTGACGACGGTGGCAGCGGTGGCTGCGATGGTCGAGTTGGTTACCAGGTTCATTGTTTGTGTGGTGCTTGGAGGAGTATTGGGTTGCATCTTGGTATTCAGACACGCACATGCTCACACCAAATGAAGTTTCAAGTGTCAAGTTTCTTTCAAGTGTCAAGTTTCCTACAAGTTGGCAATAGACATTGGCCAGGCTGGGTTTCATTCTCTATCCACAGGGATCCGTGTCGTTTCATTTGAGCTGAGGCTGTACTTGTACTCGAAGGATGAGGCCAAGATCCACAGATGGAAGCGGGCATTCACGCTGGCCAAGGTGCGCATTGGGCTTTTCCCGGCTCCGGGGCTATGGTGGAAGGTCTTTGTTTTTTTTGTCTCAGGGCACCTCTCAAAATGGCAGGTTTCTTCTTGGTTTCCCTACGCCAAGCAACGTGTGCGAGCAGTTGCTTGCCATGATGTCCCCCTTGTTTGTTGCCAATATTCCATGTGCTCGTTTTGGTTCATGCGTGTAGGAGACCAGCAGCTCAGCATTTAGTAATTTAGCTTGCCAAGGTTTGGATCATGCGCAGCACCGGGTGGTCTGCTCACAGGTCCTGGTGTCCGAGAATGACCGCCGGGCGCTGAAGGTGCCAGGACCTCGGTGAGGAATGGAGCCAACAGGTGGCCCTCCATAGGACTCTCAACGACCCGGGTCACGAGCCAGGTGACTCGTCCAAGCTCCACCCTGCTACCCTTTTTAAGTGCGGTAACCAACCTGGGCAGTTCAGCTTTGGGACTTCCAGCTGGTTGCAAGGCTTTCTCGGAGAGGAGCTCCGTATCATACCCTCGCATAAACAGACTCTCGGTCTTTGAGCTTTGGGCAGCTTGCAGATGTTTTGGGGCTCTCACAGGTTGTAGTTTTGACGCTTTTGGTGGTGAGTAGCCTTCCCTGGTGCTTAAATTGAAAACTCCCGAATAGTTCCAAAAAGCGAGGCCAACCATTCTCCCACCATTCTGTGCCCGGCTTTCTCATCATCATTTCAAGCGCATTTTATGGTACCAATGAAGCAGACCAAACTGACAATTATGTTCTTTTGGTTTTTTTTAGTTGGTACCAAACAAGCACTCCAACCCAATAACTGGCTGTCCGCCTGGAGCTGAAATGGCCGAGGTCCATCGGCCGTGCCACCAGCGGGGCCCTGCAGAAGGCCTGGGATGCCCTGGCGATGTACTACGGCCGGGTGCCGCAGTGATTGGGCGGAGGATATTTTGTTTGTTTGTTTCTTTCTTTCTTTCTGTCTGTCTGTCTTTCTTTTTTCTTTCTTTTTGCTTTCTTTTCCTTTCCTTTTTTTCTTTGATTCGTTTCCTTTCCTTCTCTTTTGATTGATTCTCTTTCCTTCCTTCCTTCCTTCCTTCCGTCCTTCCGTCCTTCCGTCCTTCCGTCCTTCCGTCCTTCCGTCCGTCCTTCCGTCCTTCCGTTCTTCCGTCCTTCCGTCCTTCCGTCCTTCCGTCCTTCCGTCCTTCCGTCCTTCCGTCCTTCCGTCCTTCCGTCCTTCCGTTCTTCCGTCCTTCCTCCCTCCCTCCCTCCCTCCCTTCCTTCCTTCCTTCCTTCCTTCCTTCCTTCCTTCCTTCCTTCCTTCCTTCCTTCCTTCCTTCCTTCCTTCCTTCCTTCCTTCCTTCCTTCCTGCCGTTCGTCTCCCTGTCGGTCCATCCGTCCGTCTGTCCGTCCGTCACCGTCTTTGGTTGTTTGTTTGTGTCTGCCTTTCTGCTTGCGCTTGCCTTCCCCCCATCACAGATGCCAAAAGCAGGTCTGGCCATTGCCCGCATGATTCGTTGATCGAGAGGCAGCTTTTTCTCATGTTCTATTCAGTCATGTGGCTATGCCCGTGCATTGAGGTGAATATGCCAAGACAAAAGCGCTGGTCAAGAACATGGCGATGCGCCTTATGAAGGCCAGGACATGGCCAAACTCGAGCACATGGTCAGCATGTCGGACCTGAGCAAGTCCCGCCTGTTGGGATGGTGACCCAAGACTCAGGTGAGCCACAATCAAAACCCGGGCAGATGAAGGTTAGTACGGGGCAGTCCCAGCCAGAAATAGTCGCAGCCGCCTTCTTAATTCTTTACATGGTTCCGGGTAGACCATTTTAATACCGGGTTTTGATTGTGGCTCAGGTGGTTTGGTTCAAGGGCTTGAGCCGGGGCTCCAAACCTAGAGTCACTGAACTCCGCATTTGTGAGCATGAGGCGTAGGGAATCCCCTCTATCCATCACTGGGGTTTTGGCGTTGATAAGCGCCTGATTCCTCTGCTCCGGGCCCACTCGGGCCAGGTGGACATCAGCCGTGGGTGGATGAAGTTCAAGCTGGTCTACAGGCCGTTGGCTGAGTTAGGTCAAGCGCCCGGAAGGAGTCAAAAGAGAAACGCAAGCGGAGGGCGAAGTTCCTGGATTTGACATGCCAAACAATAATTGCTCGAGACCATAGCAATCCATTTGCCTCAGTGTTCGAGTCACATGTCATGATCGCAGATGCATTGGTAAGTCACGTTTCCCAGGTGCAGCGTACACACCTGACGATTTTCGTTCATGCAAGACCAGAGTTTTTGTCTGCTTTTTGGAGCAACCAAACTGCACAACCGAGCTTGGCTTCTATCGAGTTCGGCACACCTTCCTCCCCGTGGCAAGTTATTACACGAGAAATTCCACTGACTTTACAAACGCGCTCCACCTCATTCTTGAAATGAATGCGTCCGATGTCAGGGCACTTATGGTCCAAGGCAAGACTTGCTTTGTGTGTCCTTGGGTTGGGCTAGGACGAGTTGTTGGTTTCCCCGTGCTTTCCCCTTCAAAGCCAAGCGAAAGGCGATTCCCCAAAAAGGAATGGCCGCAAAATAGGGGAACTCCAGCTCAGGAAGAAGGAGGACGAGCAGAGGCGGCGCAAGGATCAGCAGATTTGGGCTGCCCGCTTCATGTCCGAGAAGCTGACAAAGTTGGGCAGGGCCAAGGCGGGAGGTGCAAACAACTCGAAGGTGAGATGTGGCCCGCGCAAAACTCGTCTTTTTTTCTTTTTCTTTTTTTTCTTTTTCTTTTTTTTTTTTCTCTTTGTTTTTTTTTTTCTATTCTTTTTTTTCCCTTCCGCATGTGCAAAAGGAGTGCCAATGAAGAGGACTGGAAGAAGCCCTGCATCTGAACTGCCATTCTTGTGGATAAGGTAGCATGTTGGATGCGACAGCCTGCAACCATTTCTTTGCCCGTGGTGTTTGTGGCGTTCCAGTTGTCCATCCCTAGACTTGCTATTCTGGGCGGCCGTGCTAGGAAGCATGTTTCCGTGGCTTACCCCAGTGCAGGAACCTCACATCTCAATAGTCCACGTCTGCTTTTCATGGATCCATCGTCGCGGAGCTTGAGACTGAACCCGGCCACGGGCGCGCATACATATGGTACCCACTTCACATTGGTTTCACATCAAAAGACAACACGGTTTTCCAGAGAAGAAAAACGTCTCTGATGTTTGGGTTCCAGTTTAGTTGAATCTATGGCGGGGGGAGGTTGGTGGAGCGATGCGCAGGGCTGGCGGTGGTTTTGCGGCCGTGGTGACGACGCTCCCGCCTGCGCACCGTTTCGGTTTTGCGGTTCGCTCGTGGCTGTGCACACGACGGTCACGTATCTTGTTCAGGGCCGTGTCGTGGGCGTGCCAAGCTCTGGACGCGACCGCGATGACGATGGGCTGGCGGGGAGACGTGGTTGCTTCGCAGCCCCATTCGGACAAGGGTCCAGAAGTGGATCGCGATGACGGGCTGATGGGGGCAGGCCGTGCAAAAGGCTCCGCAAGGGAGGGAAATCTGGGCGATTTGCCGCGTGGAAATGGCTCCGAAGGAGTGCCGCGATGACGCATTAAAATGCGGCGCGCCCGCCACCGCGCCGTTTCCGCTCTCGTGGCCACAACGTTTGGAAACGCGAGCCGTCACATGGGTCCGTGTCGCGTGTCTTGGGACGAAGCAGTTTCCGGACAGCGGCCGTGGCTGATGGGGTGGTCGTCGCACTTGGACACGTTCTGGAAGGGCGCCGCGCTCGCGACTGGCTGACAAGGCGGTTGCGGTGAAAAGGTTCCAGAACGGCTGACAGAGATCTGGGCTGATCCGACGAAGCGTTAGCAGGGCAGATGCTGTTGCTTCGTGGCTTGGCCGCTCTGACGATGGGCCGACGCGGCAGAGGCATTCGGAAAGGGCTCTGGAAGGGAAACGACGCTTGCGACGGTTGGCGTGGCTGTTATCAAGACGAGGGAGCGATGATGCAGGGGGCGTGACCGTGATGAAAACCGTGTTGAATTTGTTGCGGCAAGTGTTTTGTTTCGGGTTGCTGTTTCTGGGTCCCCCCATTTTGACACATGCTCAAGTTCCTGAAGTGCAGGCCAAGGATCTGGCAGAAGTGCGGGAGGGGGTGCTCACGCGCATCCAGCAGAGGCGGGATTGGGGCAATTCCACAGGCAATTGCAACTTTCCATTTGGCTCCAATCTGTTTGGCCTGATCCATGCACTGCAGGTTCCGCTCCTACCGGGAGGACATGATCTTTGACCGCACGTACCCTCTGACCTCGAGCATGATGTCCCGGGTGCGCAGGGGGAACGGGCAAATGGGCCAATGGGACTGCTCCCAACTGTTGCAATTCTTCGGTCGCTCGTTCCTTCGAGGCATAGAATTGGTTGGGCACCCAAGTGAAGAGGGAGAGATCGCTTTTGTGTGTTTGCAGTTGAATTTATGCCCGAAAGACAAGCATGGAATCCGGACAACCCCCGAAAAATGGCTTGTGGAGCCTTGTTTTTTCCCATTTCCACTGCGTTTCGACCGAAAGTTCTTGCGGATTGGTCCACCTCAACCCGGGCTGCCCTGGTTCATGCCAGGTGCAGCAGGCCAAAGTCGGCCGGGTGGCGAGCTTCGCCATGCAGACCGCGGGGGGGCCATGGATTTTCGATCTGGATTTCTGCGGTGGGCGGTGACCCAAGACGTAATGTGGGATCCTGAAGAGGAGTGCAACTGAGGACAACATTTATGTGTTCATTACCTACGTACATATATGCATATGTACATGCATATATATATATATATATACACTATATATATACACACTATATATATATATGTATATATTATATTTTCATATATATATATACATATATATATATATATATTCATATGGTCCAGGTCCGCGCACTGCACCCCGCCCGCCCCACCCCCAGGCCTCCCGCACTGGCCTGCCCTGTGGCCGCCCACACCCAGGACCCAGGACAAATCAACTGACCTCACCCCCCCTACAAGCTTCTAACGCACCTTAACTTACCCGAAAGCACCCACCTACCAACCTTAAGTAAACCCAGCCCTAAGCCAGCCCTAACTCAACGTGGTTGGTATGCTTGGGACTTGGTGTGCGACAGCCTTGTTCAACCCTTCGGGGCTTGCAGCAACAAGATATATGGTACAGCGTTACCAGGACCGCTGCCTAATGGTCGCGGGACAGACAAGTAGCCACCCTGTGGTTGGGTAGTGGTGGTTTGGCGGGGTTGGTTTAGGGGTGGTTTAGGTGGGTTGAGTGTTGCTTCGGGTTGGCTAAGGGTGGGTTTAAGCGGGTTTCGGGGTGGTCTTGGGTTGGTTTAGGTCCCAGAGGAGGGGGGGGAACTTGTCGGTCAGTACATGTGACAGCATATATATATATATATATATGTCTATACATATATGTATATATCTTTATGTTTGCATATGCACGTTTTGCATCTAGAACACAAACCTGAGGTGTCTGCAGACGATGTGTGCCACATGAGTCTTCAGGGAGAGGCGGGAGCATGGGATAAGGGCAGCACCTGGGCAGTTCGTCACGTCGCTGAAGTTATGTTTGCAACTGGACAAAAATCGCAGAACTCACATCCCACAATCCTGGTGGGGTGGGGTGGGGTGGGGGGGGTGGGGGTCGACTCCATCGAAGAAACCATCAGCCTGAAGTTTGAACATGGCAAACTGCCTGAGTGCATCCCGAAGATTTTTGAACCTCCGCTACAGCCAAACAGCGGAGGTCCAACTAAGAACAGATTGCTTTGAGCTGGTACCTTTCGACAACCCAAAGAACAAGGTTCTTGGTTTGGCCAGTGTGGTCCCTATACAGTGGTTTGATGAAAGCTCTAACCACTTTCCTGGCAATCTTTCTAGTGTCGCGGCAACTTTGAGGTGCACGAGTATTCAGCGAGTGCCTTGCGACAGTTCGATCGAGTCGCGCTGCTGTCAGGTTTCCATTGTACCATTGACAGTGTGATTCAGAGTTTTGGTGTTTAGGCTCGCTAGAGACAATGCTTTTAGGTGGCCAAGAGGGTGCGGGCAACAGCCCACTTGACAAACATCATCCTACACAGGTGGCATGCGCCATAGTTTTTGGACCCTGCGGGCCCGAGTGCTTGTGTTTTTGTGTTGGGTGCTTGAAGGGGATGGGAGATTCTGTCCATGCCGAGTCATTCCCAACCTGCGACTCGTCACCTTGTGACTTGCAGCGTGCAGTTTTGCGGTGACTGGCAACGGCCAATGGCAACCGGCGAAGCGAAGCCGTGGGTTTCTCCCAGGGTGGGATCAAGGGGTGACAAGCCCCACTTCTCTACAAGGGAATCTCCACCTGAATATGGGGAGTTCGTCTTTGGGCTTTTTCCTTGAATCCGTGTCTCCCAGCTTCGTGGATTCCATGTCCCAACAGCCCGGGAGTTTCTCCCCCGGGGGAGGGGAGTGAACTGCGAGGCCTGGCAGAAGTGGGACAAGGACCGGGACATCTTCAGGTCCACGCCGGCGCCTCATGGGGTGCCTCGCGTGCGCTTGGATGCACCCCGGCCCTTTGTGCCGGGTGGGGGGGTTCGCGATGGGATGGCCGTGAGCTCTTGTGTGTAGTTTAGGCCAATTGTGCATTGCTCCAGGTTTCTATATGGATGATGATCTGAATTTGAAGCAATTTGCAAGAGTTCGGCTTGAGGGAGACATGATCATCATCCACACACACACACACGTGCTTTGACCATGGCACACATGTTGATTGTCACAGGAATATGGACTTGACCTATCCTAGGAATTGGACAATGGCAAATGTGGGACTTTGTCAAAACTGCTGTTATGGTTGGAACCATTCAATATAAATCTCCCAAATTTAGACACAGCGATCTAGTGAGGGAGGATAAGATCAAGCACGAAAATCAAGAAAAGGCACGCGTTACGCAGTTGAGTGGCAAAGCTATATATGTGGGAGGGACTTCCAGGGGCACAGCTTTTCGGCTGGAGGCCCTGCTACTCCGCCTTGGACGGGGGCTCTCTGTCTGTGCAGTCGGTTGGGAGCTGAGTGCGTTTGTCATGGTGCTGTCGGCGGGGCAAGAGCAAAGTGAAGGGGAGCAGGAGGGATACTGTGGATGGCGACATTGTCGTTTTAGACCGCGTTAGATGCCGTGTTTTTCTTGCCGAGTGTTCGTCCCACAAAGAATTGACTACCTGACGCTGATTGTGGGCACATCTTGGCACGAGCAGCCAGGGATAAACTCAAGGAGTGGACATATTTTGCAAGCAAACGAGCCTTGCTACGGCCAAGCTTTTTGTGGCACCAACTTTTGCCTCATCGCACCGGCCAGTGAATCAGCAGGCATGATTCCCCCAATCAGCCAGCGGAATTCCGTGTGATGCGTGTGGATTCTTGGTGCAGTGTGGAGACGATGGCCCTTTTCCACTGCTTTGAAAACATGGGCCGGGCGGAATCAGAATGTGCTTAGGAGGTGCTGGGAGATCTTCACCTGCCCCGTGACAACATGGTTTTACAGCCGACTTCCTGCGACTACAAGCCTCATTCAGCTTCATCTCCCGTTTGAGAGTCCCAAACAACATGTTTGAGCTAGTTTTTGTGTGGCTGTTCATTTGGTTTCGGAAACCTCATCCATGCATGAAGATGGTATCGCTGATGACGATGCTTTTATCCTCGATCCAATGGCGTTCAGTTCTATCGAAAGCATCGTTGATATGCAAGGCTACTATGATGATTTCATCAATGCCACGATCAGCAATCCATCAACCTCAACAACATCTCATTGAGTTTTGATCCGTGCCCATGTCGAGCGGCGCCATTTTCGTTGGTGGACAAAAGCAGCAACTACGGAGAGGAGGGGAAAAACAAATAGATCATTCATATCCGGAGAAATGGCAGGTTCACGCCTTTGTTTCATGGATTCGGACTCAGTTGGCCCGTGGCCTCTGCTGGAGGCTTTGGTCTACGCCTCAGACAACCTCAGCGCTCTCTTCCTGGCGCCGCGGGACGGGGGCGCTGACGCCGTCAGCGCATTCGACAAGACGGACTGGCCCGGGACTGAGGCCTGCGAAAGGAGCGGACCGCAAGCGCGCCATGCAAGCACCTGGCTCTTGGGAGGGGCTCAAGTAGAAGGACTAACTCTGAAGGTGCATCTTTGACCCCGTGTGGTTCCGGGTTGCATGGTAAAGTGACCAATGGCAGGGAATGCGCAAGGACTGGGACTCGTGATACTTGTCGACTGCAAAGCTGATAGAACAGTTGTCTTGGCTTCTTGAGAACAGTTGTGAGCAGAGGCTGTTTTGATCCAGCAAACAACCACACTGTTTTACTCAACTCCGGATTCTCTTGTGCAGTTTGCTCCCTCGATAGCCGTCTTCGTTAGCCTCAGCAGCTGAGTCTAAAGCTATCCGCCGGCTCGGCTGAATCGTTGATCTAGGCGCAAGTCAACTTAGCAACCTAAGCCCACTACAAGGCAGTCATTTCCGAGCCTACATGGCCCGAAACCCTTAACCCGCAGCTGCAAACAGCTGAGGTCCAAGTTCATTAACATGGACCGCATCTCCTCCGTGCGGGTCTTGAGGGGCTGTGGAGCCCTGCGCGTGAACATGTTGGGTCGGGGGCGGAGTTTATTTGTCATCTGAAG